GATTTATTCTAAGCCACGCAGCATTTCTTCCCTGGTAGAAGGAGGCGAATGATGTTGCAGAGCAGGGAGGGGTCTTACCTGCCCAGCCCCCACTGCCACCTGCTGCCACCGCCCAGAGTCTGGAGAGGACCAGGGGACAGGTGGCCTGGGGAGCCACGGAGATGAGACGGGGGACCTCCCTGTGGCCGTGGGGGACTTCTCTCTGCAGCTACAATTAACCTCAGCACGGGAACGACACCACAACCTCCATGCCTGCGGCTGCTGCGGAGGTGGAAGCAAAGGAGGGTCAGTGACAAGGGATCCGAGAGGACGTGGGGAGGCTGTTTAGAAGCCTGCTTGCCTCTCTGGGTTCTAGTCGTAGGGAGCCCTATTGCCTCTGGGCGGGAATAGAAGGTGAGGGGGCCGTGACCATGCTAGCTGGGTTTGCTGTCTTTGCCTTCACCGTGGGTCATGTGACACTTGGCGCACAAGGTCTGCTTTATTTTTTATTGCTGATTAGGAGTTCTGAGGGAGGCTAGGCTGGGCCCCGGAGCTGTTGGGCTTCATTTCCAGCCTGTGGGGCTGGCGTGAGTTATTTTGGGACAGGAGCCAGGTTCATCACACTCGGCTTACAGAATGGAAAAATGGAAGCTCCTGGCTGGTAACTGTCTGGGGAAGAGAGAGGCATCCGTACAGGCAAAGCTTCAGGACCCGAGGGCCTGGGTCATCTGTGATGACTGTGAGCAGGTCACCACCCCTCCCAGAGCTAGGGTGCTGAGGATGAGGGGGTGCTTTCAAGATTCAGGAGTATCCAGAAGATCTGTATGCTCAGAAAAGGGGCCCTATCCAGGTGGTGGTGCAAGCTTGTGATCCTGGTATACCAGGAGGCAGAGGCAAGAGGTTTATCGGAGTTCATTGCCAGATGGGTCTATCTAGTGAGTTCCAAGTCAGGGCTATTTTGCAAGACTCTTTCAGAAAACCAAACAACAACCACACAAAATAAAAATAAAACAAACAACCAAAACCCCAAAGAAGTGACTGGCTGTGGTTGCTATTGGGATCCCGTCTCTGAACAGTAGTCCCCTCCTCAGCTTTCTCCTTCTGTGAGTGTGGCGCCCAGGGCCTCTGTGTGCCCAGGGCAGCTCTACCCCGGTGCCAGCAACATGAGCTTCAGTGCCAACCGTCAGTCAGCTGGGCAGCTGTGATGTGGGCAGTGCTGAGCTGCCCTTGTGCGGCACAACCAGAGGCCTGAAGCAGCTGTGGAACACCACACCCCTAGTGGCTGCATAACTGTGCCATTGAATGGCCTACAAGAGAGCTTCTGCAGCACAGGGTCCACCGGGCCCCAACAAACGTCCTCCCGAGTGCCATCCGAGGGGACCGTCGGCGGGTTCCCATGCGGAAACACTGAGGTCAGGCTGCCCAGAAGGAGAGTGGAGGGTCTCTTTCTAGGCTGAGGGTCCCCAGGATGTCAGGCTGTTCCCTGCAGACCACAGCTTGGGTTCCAGAGGAGCGGAGCAGAGTGGAGCAGAGCCTTGGCCCCGGAACCAGCTGCTTAGCTGCTAGCTCTGGTTCGTTTGCTTTGTGAGCTCGGCACATTGCTTCACCTGTCTGTGCCTCAGCTTTTCCTCCTTTACAACGTGGAGGAATGTAATGGAGACTCTTGAGTGTGTTAACAGATAGAACACCTGTGTGTGTTCTACAGAATGTGACCTACAGATAGAACACCTGTCTCCTGTCAGTCACCTGCCTACCTATAGTAACCACCCATCCTACCTATGGCTTAGCCTTTTATCATAATGTGTCTGTCTATCTGTCTATCTGTTTATCTATCTGTTTATCTATCTATCTATCTATCTATCTATCTATCTATCTATCTATCTATCATCTATCTTCCATCCATTCATCCATCTATCTACCTACCTAGCCATCTATCATGATCCATCCATCATACATTCATCTATCTATCTATCTATCTATCTATCTATCTATCTATCTATCTATCATCATCATCCATCCATCATCCATTTATCTATTCACCATCTTTCTTTCTTCCTTTCTTTCATCCATTCACTTATCCATCCATCCAATCTGTCTTTGTTTCTTTCTCAATGATCTGTCTATTCATCCGTCCACCCTGTGAGTCAGGTTCTTTGCGCGTTTCTCCCTCCTGGACACATTTGTGGACAGATACTGCTGCCGAGTCAGGGGCAGTGGCTCTGAACCTGAGATTTATGACTCTCACACCCAAACTGCTCTTAAGAGGGACAGGTGGGCAGACCTGGTCCCCAGGGAGTGCATCTTGTGCCGCAAGAGGGAACTCTTGTCTGTACAAACAGTATGGCATGCTCTGGGCTAGCTGCTTAGGGACAAGCACAGGACTTCCTCTCTCCCAGGCCTGGTTTCCAAGGAAACCAGGTGAGGATGACTTCTGGGACCACCTTGAAAGACAAAGAAAGGAATGACTCTCAGGTCTCAGGGATTTGCTTCTGATCTTTCATGGTAGTCACAAGGCCTGTACACGTCCACCTACCCTGGAGGGCCTCCTGATTCAGGTACTGATCATTTTTCTTGCTACCTGAAACTTCCCACACCCTTCTAGCCTGGTTCCTACATCTGGAAAGGTCCTTTGGCCTCATGTGGTTTTCATACTCCTCTTCTACCTTCAAAACCCACCTTTGTGAACCCTTTTCTATTTCCTTCCCCGCTCCGCCCCCCCCACCCCCGCCCATCACAGCAACTTTAAGCCCTTATTGATAGAATCCTTTTCACGTCAAATAATGGGACTCCTGTGATCCGATTTGACAGTTGAAACTGTTTTCAACTTTTCCTTTTCTGAGTTTTCAGGTGGAACCTTGTAGGCATCCAGTAGGCATCCGGCGGACATCTAGAAGAAGAGGCACCTCAGAAGATATCAGTCATCACGTGTAGAGAGGTGGGAATTGCTGTTGCTTAGCAACCAGCAGCCTGTGGCTGCAGGAAAGTCTCATCCCTTCCACCCACTAGTTAGCTCCACTGTCTTCTCTCCTGGCCACACGAGGCCTCCCTGGAGGTTTCTGCCTAGGGTGCCATCTAGGTGCTCCACGGGCACCAGCGTGGAGACCGGAGTAAGGCACCCCTCATGATAGCTGGGCTACTGAGCAAGGCCGAGTTCAACCGCTGTTTCCCCTGTCTTCTTGCATTCAAATGCAGGAGACACGTTGATGACCGCAGTGACAGGGAGAGGAGCGAGCGCTTAATCACGGGCTGCATGTGAGGTCTGTTGGTTCTGCAAACACAATCAATCACCCTTGCGCTCTACACAAACCGGCCGTCATGCCCCTTTGCCAACAAAGCAAACAGAGGCTCAGAGAAGGTAGTATGTTGCCCGAGGAAACACAGCCCATGAAGGTGAAGAGAAAATTTAAATCCATGGGCCCCGGGAGAATGTCATTTGGGGGCCACTTCATGGCAAGATGTTGGAGGAGTGGGCTGGCTACTCTAGGCCTTTCAGAGGACTCCGCGAAGTGTCCAAGCTCCAGAGTGCGTGGGAGACTTGGGGGAAGGGGAAGAGCATTTGTCGGGGAAGAGCCCTGCTACTCCCGGCCCCCCACCCCCCCATTCCCCTCCCCCTCCCTGCTCCCAGCACAGCCACGGGCAGCTATGACCATGGTAGCACACAGGCCTAGCCGTAGCCCGGCTGTCTGTGGACTGGAATTTGGGATCTGCTGTTATTTGGTTCTGGGCAAATTCCTTGACCATCAGAGGCATCTGTCCGAATGGGTCAGGTCTGGACCTTGAAGGGCTGCCATGGAGATGAACTAGGACCTTAGATGGGAAGCCGCTTGTACTCAGCCAGCTGAGAGGATACCTCGCCGCCCCGTCTCTAGGGTTCTGACGTGCCTGTCAACTGTGGGTGTGCTGACAGGTCCCCTTTGTGTGTGTTGTATGGGCCTGATGGGCAAATGTGAGCTCTGTGTCTCCCGCTTGCAGGGCCGTGGGTTTTGAGTGTGCGCGTTTTTTGTTGTATGTAGACGGCACAAGCCCCTCTTCAGCCCCAGCTGGAGGCTGTTGGGAGCAGCTGGGGGTGGGGGGACATTCCAGGCAGCTCCTCCACATGTTCCCCCGCTCAGAGCACCCTCAGCAGCCCAAGGGCCCCAGTCTATCTATGTCCCTTCCTTCCTCTGCTGGTACCAACATGCTCGGTGGTGGTGGTGGGGTACAGGAAGGGGGAGAGGAAGGGGGAGGCCCTGACGGATGCCCGAGGCTCTGCAGCTCCTGGCTTGCTGCCGGGAGGGACTCTGAGTTTGTTTGAGCACTAGGGGGCAATGTGTCTGTTTGAAAGAAACTCAGAAGCCGGCTCCAGAGGTGTGAGCACACACAGGCACGTCGTCCGTACAGGGGTGCCCACACCACAGAGGTGCACACTCTGATGCACAGAGGGCCCAGGCGGAAGAACTCATCCTCACCCAGCAGGACGAAAGACACACAAGGGCAGAGGTGAGGACACTCAAGGGGTGATAAATAGCTGCACACCCAGAGAGATGGGCGGGTGGTGGTGGTGGCGGCTGGGAGCAGACAACACCCATGTGAGTGCGTGCACACACACACACACACACACACACACACACACACACACACACGCCCCACAGTGACCTCCAAAGATGCATGCACCTGCCGTATACAGAAACCACATAGATGCCAGCCAGCCTTCCAGGGCAAAGACAAATGCAGGCACAGTTCATTTACAGTGTTAAGGAAGGGGTCCCCCTCCAAACGCTCTCTTCAGACACTCACACCCCCCAAAGTGCTGACTCTGGAAAAGAGCCTGGGAAAAATACGCCTCTGCCGCCTTCCTTGGGTGCAAACAGGAAATCCAGTCAGATGTTGGGGGCTCCACCCAAGGAGCGTCAAGTAACACCCCAACACCTCAAACCAGTGCTCCTCAGAGAACAGGCCCGTGCGAACTTCTTCCCAGCTCCTGCCGTCCCTCCCTAGTGCTCCACACAGTTTCCCCCACATCCCTGTCCCTTCCTGACAAGATGCACAAGGTATTCCATCCCTGCCTCTTGAGAAGGCCACTGTCCCCAAGATGGGCACAAGGTCAGCCGTCACAGCTCTGCTACCTGGGGCATCCTCCTGAGATCTATCCCCGAGCTCTCCCCTTTCTGCCTGGAAGGTCCAAGGGCCCCTCGCTGTGGGCCTGGAGGGTCACTTGGGGGTGTCTAACCGGGTCCTTATTCCTTTGTGCCTACACGGGCCAAGCCCCTGTCTTCTCCCTGGCTCTCCTTCCCTGTCACTTTGCTAAGTAATAATTTCCATGTCCAATTCCATTTCTTTTCTAGTTCTGAAACCTCTAAGCTATCAGCAAGAGGATAGTTCGCATGAAAACTAATTACACAAAATCAATATTTAATCACAGACCAACAACCTGATCCTGCAGAAAAATCCTTTTAAAACTCCACCACCCTGCACAAATACTTCTTCCCAATGCTTATTTATGGGTCCCGTTTTTTTTTTTTTTTTTTTTTTGGTGGGGGTAATTTTCATTTTTAATTTCAAAAGGGAAAAAAAAAATCTGTAGACTGCAGGAAAGGCCTGAGCTTGTTACAGCTTTCTGAGCTTTATTTCGAGTGCGTGTGGGGGTGGGGTGAGTGAGTGTGTGTGTGTATGGGGGGATGAATGGGGGGGGTGAAGGACTGGGGGTGGGGTGGGTGTGTGGGAGACGGGGGGGGGGGGTGAGTGTGTGTGGAGGGGGTGATTGCTTCAGGAGTCCTTTGGGGCTTCCTGCTCCCCCCTTTCCTAAACCGAGCCCATTTTCCAACTAGAAGCTCCAGGGAGTAATGAATCGGCCACGAATGACACGGTAACTTTTAACTCATGCCCGCGACAGTGGAGTGCTTAATCTGAGGTTTTTAAATAAAAAGGGCTCCGGGTTGGTTTTATTATAACGTTTATTTCATTTCAGATTTCATGCGTAATTTAGCAAACGCTAGACAGACTTGGGCGATAAACACTTTCTTTTGTGGGGGGAAAAGGCATTTTTATACACCATGCTTAATTTTATTTAGATTTAATAGCGATATCAGGGCACTTCAACGAAAGTTTTTTTTTTCCTTTTCCCCCTCCTCTTTTAAGAATCCTGGCCAGCCGGGCGGTGGTGGCGCACGCCTTTAATCCCAGCACTCGGGAGGCAGAGCCAGGCGGATCGCTGTGAGTTCGAGGCCAGCCTGGGCTACCAAGTGAGTTCCAGGAAAGGCGCAAAGCTACACAGAGAAACCCTGTCTCGAAAAACCAAAAAAAAAAAAAAAAAAAAAAAAAAAAAAAAAAAAGAATCCTGGCCTGCCAGCAAAATTGCCTCGCTTTATTTCATGGCAAGGAAAATTAAAGGCCTTTCTGCCCTCCTCCCCTACTTACGCTTTGAGAGGAAAACACGCACACGCGTGCTGGCGCGAGGGTGCGCGCGCGTCCACATAATAAACACCTCCACCTCCCATCACCTCCAACTTCCAACTTTTAATTGCAAGACAGATTTCAGCCTCCGTGAGGATCAGGAAGACTTAAACATTTTAACTAACATTATTGGGATAAATATTTCATAGGAAACAGGGCAGATATTAAATTATTCCTATTGATTTTAGTATCACAATCCAATTCCGTCCCTTGACCTCTTCAGTTTAATTGATCTCTTAAGGAGTCCGACTTCGCGCCCTCCAGGGCCTGGGCCTGTGGCCGCCGCAAGGTGTCGGGCCCCCCCTGTGTGCGCTCTGCGTGTCGCTCCTTCTCGGGGTTCCGCATTGTTTCGCTTCGCTGCTCCCGCGCCGGGCTCACCCAAAGTGTCCTCAGAAAGCGGCCGAATGTGCGTGGCTTCTTCCCGGTGGAGCCAGAGGCAGAGAACCGGAAGCCGCAGACGGTGGGAGACTCGGGAAGGAGCAAACCAGTCCCGGCTCCCGGAGACAACCTTACTTCGTGTTTCCCCCTCGGCGATCACATCGTGAACTTCCCAGGGCCGGCTCCCCGGGGCGCCGCCCCGGGCTGCAGCACAGGCGACACTTAGCGACTTTCCCTGGCGAGTCCCGGGGCTCTGCCAGGCGACCCCATTGTCTGTGCGCCCCGTACAGCTCGCCGCCCACCTCCCCGCCCCCTGCCCACCCGGCAGGTCGCGCTGGCTCCGGTTGGGGGTGGGGAGTTGGGAACAGTGTGAATGGGAAGGGGCGGACAAAGCCCGGCTCCCGCCGTAGCCCTCTGCTCGCGCCCTCCCCAGCCGGGGGCACTCAGGGCGCACCCCCATCGCCGTAGGCTGGACCCGGTGTAGCGCGGGTCGGTGGCCAGGCCTGCGCAGCCCGGACCCGGGACCACCTTAAGAGCGAGCCCCGCCCCCGGGCCCGCTCGGGCGGCGCTGATTGGTGCAGAGGTAATGGCTGGAATGGATTGCTGAAACGCAAAACTTGTTGCTGCTTCTCCCGGCGCCGGCTAGAGGCAGACGCGGAGCGGGAGCCCGGACCTCGCAACGCCCCGCCCGCCCCGCGCGCCCAGCTCGCCCGCGCGGCCCCTTCCCGGGTCCGAGGGGACCCGCGGAGCGCGGAGGCGGGAACCGCAGCCTCGGAACCACCGGCCGCACGCCTCCCCGCCCGCCCGCGCGCGGCCCGAGACGCCCGCGAACTCGCGCGGCGACTGGCGGACGAGCCCGAGCCGCGGAGCCGCGCGTCTCCCGCAGCCTGCGCTCCCGCTCCGGCGCCCGCATCTCCTGCTGCGGGGCCAGCACCGGCGATGAGGAGCGGAGCCGCCTGTCTTCCGAGCCGCTGAAGCATTCGCCGCCGATCGCCCGGAGGTGCGGGAGCCCGTGCGACCCGGGCGCGGGGACTCGGGGCAGGGGAGGGACCAAAGGGCTCCCCTACGGCCCCAGCCGCCGCGCCGCGGACTCCAGAAGGTGATCATTCCGCTCTCCCGCCCCTTTCCCTCCCCCCGACTTAACTTTTTGTCTCAGCTCGTCGGCCGCCAGGTCTCCTTTCCGCATACCCACCCGCGGCCGTGCCATCCGCCCGGGGCATGGGCCCCCCGACCAGGCTCCAGGAGGCGCCGCGGCCTCACAAGACGTGAGAGGCCCGCTTGGGTAGATTCCGAGGTTCCGGAGAGCAGCGGAGAGCTCCCAGCCAGCGCCCGCGCGCCTGGCCGGGTGGCGGTGAGCGCTGCGCCCCGCGCGCGGTGCAGAACGTCCCGGAGCGCCGGAGCCGCGACTGAAGCGAGTAGCTGGCCCGAGGCGCGCGGCGGAGCAGGCTGTCATGCCCTATTGATCCCCCCGCCCCCCGCCAAGTATGTTTGGGCTGGACCAGTTCGAGCCCCAGATCAACAGCCGGCACGCTGGCCAGGGCGAGGGGAACTTTAACGAAGCCGGACTGAACATGAACGCCCACTTTAAGGCTCCTGCTTTCCACGCCGGCCCCCCTCCTGGCCCTGTGGACCCTGCCATAAGCGCTCTGGGTGAACCCCCGATCTTGGGTTTGAACATGGAGCCCTACGGCTTCCACGCGCGCGGCCACTCCGAGCTGCACGCAGGGGGGCTGCAGGCGCAGCCTGTGCATGGCTTCTTCGGTGGCCAGCAGCCTCACCATAGCCACCCCGGAGGCCACCACCCGCACCAGCATCACCCCCACTTCGGGGGCAACTTCGGTGGTCCGGACCCAGGTGCCTCGTGTCTGCACGGGGGCCGGCTGCTTGGCTACGGAGGTGCAGCGGGCGGCCTGGGCAGCCAGCCGCCCTTCGCAGAGAGTTATGAGCACATGGCGGAAAGCCAGGGGCCGGAGGGCTTCGGCCCGCAGCGGCCAGGAAACCTCCCGGACTTCCACAGTTCGGGCACCTCGGGCCACGCCGTGCCTGCCCCGTGCCTGCCGCTGGACCAAAGCCCTAACCGGGCCGCCTCTTTCCACGGCCTGCCCGCCTCCAGCGGCTCGGATTCTCACAGTCTGGAGCCCCGGAGGGTGACGAACCAAGGAGCTGTAGATTCGCTGGAATACAATTACCCGGGCGAGCCGCCCTCAGGACATTTTGACATGTTTTCGCCCTCTGACTCCGAAGGGCAGCTGCCACATTATGCGGCGGGTCGCCAGGTTCCCGGGGGCGCCTTCCCGGGTGCTTCAGCCTTGCCCAGGGCCGCTGGCATGGTGGGTTTGTCCAAAATGCACGGCCAGCCACCGCAGCCTCCACCACAACAGCAGCAACCTCAGCACGGAGTATTCTTCGAGAGGTTTGGCGGGGCCCGGAAGATCCCTGTGGGTCTGGAGCCTACGGTGGGCTCCCGGCACCCGTTAATGCAGCCTCCCCAGCAGGCCCCACCACCCCCGCAGCAGCAGCAGCCCCCGCAGCAGCAGCAGCAGCAGCCGCCACCACCGGGGCTTCTGGTCCGACAGAATTCCTGCCCTCCTGCTCTCCCGCGGCCCCAGCAGGGCGAAGCTGGCACACCCAGCGGCGGCCTGCAGGACGGGGGCCCCATGCTGCCCAGCCAGCACGCGCAGTTCGAGTACCCCATCCACCGGCTAGAGAACCGGAGCATGCACCCGTATTCTGAGCCCGTTTTCAGCATGCAGCATCCCCCTCCTCAGCAGGCGCCCAACCAGAGGCTGCAGCATTTCGACGCGCCCCCCTACATGAACGTGGCCAAGAGGCCGCGCTTTGACTTCCCGGGCAGCGCAGGCGTGGACCGTTGTGCCTCGTGGAATGGCAGCATGCACAACGGCGCCCTGGACAACCAACTCTCTCCCTCTGCCTACCCAGGCCTTCCCGGCGAGTTCACACCGCCTGTGCCGGACAGCTTCCCCTCGGGACCGCCCTTGCAGCACCCAGGTCCCGACCACCAGTCTCTGCAGCAGCAGCAGCAGCAGCAGCAGCAGCAGCAGCAGCAACAACAGCAGCAGCAGCAACAGCAGCAGCAACAGCAGCAACAGCAACGCCAGAATGCGGCCCTCATAATTAAACAGATGGCGTCTCGGAACCAGCAGCAGCGGTTGCGACAGCCCAACCTAGCCCAGCTAGGCCATCCTGGGGACGTGGGCCAGGGCGGCCTGGTCCACGGAGGTTCGGTGAGCGGCTTGGCTCAGACAAACTTTGAACGCGAAGGCAGCAGCGCGGGTGCGGGGCGCCTGGGGGGCTTCGAGCAGCAGGCGCCCCACCTAGCGCAGGAGAGCGCGTGGTTCCCGGGTCCACACCCGCCGGGAGACCTGCTGCCCCGGAGGATGGGCGGCGCGGGGTTGCCGGCAGACTGCGGCCCGCACGACCCTGGCCTGGCACCTCCCCCTGCTCCGGGTGGCTCAGGGGTGCTCTTTCGAGGCTCTCTGCAGGAGCCTCTGAGGATGCCGGGGGAAGGCCACGTGCCAGCGCTGGCTTCACCCGGGTTGCAGTTTGGGGGCAGCTTGGCTAGCCTAGGCCAGCTGCAGTCGCCTGGGGCCGGTGTGGGACTGCCCAACGCTCCTTCGGAGCGGCGGCCCCAGCCTCCGGACTTCCCTGCGCCAGCTCTCGGGGGCCAGCCCGGCTTTCCATTTGGCTCAGGGAGCCGGCAGGCCACGCCGCACAGCGCTCCGGGCGTGAACTCGCCCCCGAGCGCGGGCGCGGGCAGCGGCAGCTCCGGCGCTGGCGGGGCAGCTTACCCGCCGCAGCCGGATTTCCAGCCCAGCCAGCGCAACTCGGCCAGTAAACTGGGCGCGCTGTCGTTGGGGTCCTTCAACAAGCCCAGCTCCAAGGACAACCTGTTCGGCCAGAGCTGCCTGGCTGCGCTCTCCACCGCTTGCCAGAATATGATCGCCAGCCTGGGTGCTCCCAACCTCAACGTGACTTTCAACAAGAAGAACCCACCCGAGGGGAAGAGGAAACTGAGCCAGAACGAGCCCGACAGCGTGGCCGCAGCCGGCAACCCGGGCTCGGATTACTTCCCTGGTGGGACTTCTGGGGCCCCTGGACCCGGAGGCCCTTCCGGGGCCAGTGGTGGCGGCTCTAAATCCTCAGGACCGCCCAACCCACCCATCCAGGGGGATGGCACCAGTCTCTCCCCCAATTATACCTTGGAGTCAACATCGGGGAACGATGGCAAGCCTGTCCCAGGGGGCGGTGGCCGGGGAAGGGGACGCAGAAAAAGGGACAGCGGTCACGTGAGCCCCGGGACCTTCTTCGACAAGTACTCCGCAGTTCCTGACAGTGGGGGAGCACCAGGGGTGAGTCCCGGGCAGCAGCAGGTTCCCAGCTCGGCGGCGGCGGCGGCGGCTGCTGCTGCTGCTGCTGCTGCGGGAAGCTCAGTGAACGAGGCCCGCGGGCCCACGCCCCACGAGAAGGCCCTCACGTCGCCGTCGTGGGGAAAGGGAGCCGAGCTGCTCCTTGGGGACCAGCCGGACCTCATGGCGTCCCTGGACAGCACAGCCAAATCGGACGGCAGTTCCCCGCACGTGGGCGAGTTCGCCTCCGATGAGGTGAGCACAAGTTATGCCATCAACGAGGACGAAGTGTCCTCCAGTTCCGACAACACCGCCGCCCTGGCCAAAGCCAGCCGCAGCCCCCTGGTCACCAGCTCACCCAAACTCCCTCCTCGAGGGGTGGGTGCTGGGGAACACGCACCGAAGGCTCCCGCCCTCGGCCTGGGTATCCTGTCTACCTCTACCTCGACCCCTGACAGCTACGGTGGTGGCGTGGGCACCGGCCACCCTGGCACTCCAGGCCTGGAGCAGGTCCGGACCCCGACGAGCAGCAGCAGCAACAGCAGCAACAGCAGCAGCAGCAGCGGTGCGCCGCCCCCCGACGAGATCCATCCCCTGGAGATCCTCCAGGCCCAGATCCAGCTGCAGAGACAGCAGTTCAGCATCTCGGAGGACCAGCCCCCCCTGGGGCTCAAGGGTGGCAAAAAGGCTGAGTGTGCCGTCGTCGGGGCCTCAGGAGCACAGAATGGGGACAGCCAACTGGGCAGCTGCTGCTCCGAGGCCGTCAAGAGCGCCATGAGCACCATCGACCTGGACTCTCTGATGGCAGAGCACAGCACCACCTGGTACATGCCTCCCGACAAGGCCCTGGTGGACGGTGGCGATGAGGACAAGACGACGCTGGCGCCCTGGGAGAAGGCCAAGCCCCAGAACCCCAACAACAAAGAAGGTATATGTACCCGCCTTCCTTGTTTTCTGGGGCCGGCCCTAGTGTGGGCCGGCCTTGCTCCATCTCCACAGACCCAGGCACCCTCTGGCTGCACCCTGCTGGGCTGTCAGGTAGATTTTGGTTTTCCTGGTGACAGGATCTTAGATGTCCCCTCTGGAGGAGGATCACCTGTAGTTATACCTTCTCACCTCCCGATTTTAGCCGAGTTTTTCAGGGTTCAGGGGCCTTGGCGAAGCTGTCCTCCCTGTTTCTAAGACTCCTGCTGCCCCCCTGCGTTCAGCCCCACTGCTTAGGTGCTCTGGGTCCCCTCTCCGGCAGGACACCTGGCTTCACCGCCCCCACCCTTCCCTCCGAAGCCTTCAGCCGGAGTTGGCTTAGGTGGCAATACTTTCGCAAAGTCCCCTCCCTGGTATAGGCAGCGTCACTCAGAGGCCAGGCCTCCTTGGACATTGGTTTTTAGAGAGAATAGCTTTCACCTGGGGACCCGCCAGGGTGCCAGGGTTCGAGGCAACCACCACAATCCCAGGTGTGTCTCTGCTTGACATCGGGCAGGAGGGCTGGGGCTGGCTTCCTCCTGGCAGTAGTGACCGCATCATTCCTTCAGGACATCATTTGTGTTTGGGGATATGACGGTGTATTCCTAACACACAAAGGACCTTGGTTTGTCAATATCTCGCTTGGCGATGGTGACAGATGTCCAGTCTCAGGTCTGTCTCGTTTACACTCTGAGCACCCACCCCTTCCCCACCAGGCCTGGAGGCCTGTAAGGTGGGAGGGGCAGAGCCAGTCAAAAGTCCAAGGGCTCTTAAATCTAAGGATGAGCAGGCTACAGTAAGTTTACATTTTATAGCAATGGGGCTTCCCCCTCCCTTTTTCTTTACAGAAACATAGCTGGTAGCTTTTGAAAATTGGTAACATCATTTTGCCTCCTTTCCCCATGGTGCTTCTAAGTCCGAGGTGGCATCACTAGGTTTTGCTGAACAGAATATTACCATGGTGCCCGTGGCGTGGCTGGCAATTTTAAGCCCGTCTTTAAAAAAAAAAAAAATAAACCCTTGGTTGCTACTCTCCTCCTCAGTTCTCTGCTGAGCCTCTCACAGCCTACTGCATCTTAAGTATGGATCCGGGAGGGTAGGTTTTCAGAAAATATGACAGGCCCCCTTCGGAAGGAGGAAGGCGGGAGTCGTGGTGGGGGGTGCTGGAACTCTGTCTGGGTAGTCTTCCTTAGGTTTCTGGTTCACGAGTGTGGTCTGGCTGCTTTTCTCTTTGTTCCTTGTTACTGCCCGGCCTGGGATGCCCAGACGCACGCTCTCATTTGAAGCCGGGTGTTTAGCATGCACGGCAGACACCGAGGCCGGCATCAGCATTCTACAGACTCCTCCCGGGCAAGGCCAGAAATTGGTTAGTTTGGGACCCTCAGCTCCCCCCGGCTAGGGCTTTTAAAATGAAGTTGAACACAGTTTCCTGCCACCCCCTTATTTTCTTGTATATAACATCCCGATCTAGCCCAATCGATAGTCCGTCAGCACAGAACTCAGTACTAGCGCTTCTCTTGGTCCAGCACGGGCCACCCTCCATCCCCCCCAGTAATTAAAAACGTATTGGTCAGAATGGGGTGAGAAAAGTCTTTAAAAATTAGAAAGATAATAAAGAAAAACAGTATTTCTCCTTCCAGTCTTTCTAGAAGGACCCTATTAGGTGGAGAAATATTGGGGTTTTAATGAATTTTTTTTAATATATCTTCCCACCTCATCCTGAATGTGAGAGGTGCAGGCTGCATGCTGAATCTTCATTACAGAAATCTTTTTTTTAGCTTGTTTCAGTGTCCCGGGTACCATCCATAGATCAAACATGTGCCAGTTGTCTTTGGGTTGATTCCCCCTGTAAACTGGAGGAAAGCTCTCCTGTCTGTGAGGAGACAGACTTCCTCGGGGCCCGAAGGGCTGGCTTTCTCCTGAGCCTGGTGGGGGATACCCACTTGACCCCCTTTGTCCCGCACTCTGATATGGGAAGGACAGTCCCCTAGATAGCTCGAGGAAATGAGGCTTGTGAATGTGCTGCTCTGGCTGCAAGCTGAGGCTTCATAGGGACACTCCGGTCTCCCTTACCGGCAGTAAACAAGGATGATTAAACTTTTCATTATGATAACACCCCACAGTTCCATCTGTACAGGTTGTACAAATAAATACACACAGCTTTCTGTCAGTCTCTGAGAGCCCTGGCTGACAACCCGCGAAAGAGCCACTTTGAAATAAGCCAGAAAAAAAAAATGGGGGGGGGGGGATAATAGAAAAAAGTAAAAAAAAAAAAGTCTGTTTTCTTAAAAGTCCCGAGGTCCCATTAACTGGTGTGGAGATATCCAGTGAGGCTGATGGGCCTTGAACTTCCAGCCCAGAAAGTGTTTCCCTCCACCACCCTCTCAGGCAAAGGCCATTTCTGTAATGATATTTTATTTTGTCTCGCTGTAAAACATGCCAGTACTAATGTGATTAAATATTAACTCCGTTTCTGGAATTCCCTGCTCAGATGACAGACGACTAGTCAGTGTGTTACAAAGTGATCCATGCTGGAAGGAGAAGTCTCGGGGACGTCACAAGTACGGAGCCGCAGGGATGTGTCTCGCTTGTTATTTGGGCTGTGGATGGTCCCTGGGAGGGGGAGAAAGTTGACTGGACCATGGCAGTTCCTAAAAAGGAACTAGGCCAAAGGTCATATGGTGATGAGGAGCGCAAGAAGCTTGCTTCTCCAGATGACATGGCTCTAACTTCTCAACCAACCAGACAAATACCTTTTCATAAGGAAACTCCACTTCTCTTCCTGCACAAAGTTGGAGAACAGGGCAGGGTGAGCCGACCTGAGTTTGAGGTGGTTCAGACATCTGTTATGTCAGCAAGGATAACATGGCTTTAAGATCGTTGGCCAGACCTCTACCTGTGTGTAATAGGCATAGTGTAGATCTGTAGGAATTTCAAGGCACACAGGAAGGAAAAATTAGTTGGTACCGACTTGGAAAAACTTGCTTTCTTTCGTCCTTTGCCCCACACGGTTTTCAGGACGGGAATTTTCCATGATCTTAGTCTGTTCTCACCAAACTTCCTTCTTTATGCTGGTAGCCCTGCAAATTAAACCCAGTGGCCAGAGGGTCTTCCACACACGGTGAGGTGGAGCTGCCCCTGCCTGCACTTCCCACCCCATCCTTGCCCCCCACCCCCCAACTTTGGAAGTCGTGTGTTTTACAGAGACTTGGGAGAAATCTTTGGAATTGCATGCTCCTCTGTGTTCCTGTAGGAACACAGGCAGGGCTGAGAAAGTACTAGGTAGGCGGGAACGGGATGCTAGGTTTTGTTGGATGTAGGGTGGACTTGAGGCAAGGCTCGTCCTGGCTAAGCCCTGGCTGATGGAGTCCTGGGTCCATCATGCCTGCACTAGAGAGAAAATTTTGAAGTCTCATCTAGACTTGCCCTGGGAAAGTAAGCCGGCATGGCGGTTGCCGTTCTGCAACATCACCCAGCACACTTTGCACGCCTTCACGTGACTTCTGTGCCTTCAGAAGATGTGACCCCAAGCTCCTCAGGTGCTAATCAAGGGTACTGTAAACGGATAGGGGCCCCCTTTGTGCGGCCCGTGCTCTGGCTGCCCACTCCTTGGCTAGTGAAGGGCATATAACTACTGTTCTTCCACGCTTGTTTAATATTTCATGGCCGTAATAAACCTGTCTTCCTTGCCCGCCTCCCAACATAAAACCCCAAGTAGCACACATCTGCAATTATACATTTCTACTAAATATTAATAAAGGACAACGGATTTTTAAGGCGCTGGAGCTCAGTAGAGTTGAGCTTGCCATGGTCTCTGCTCCTGAGTTTTTCTGTTGTTGTTTTTCAAATTTATTTTTTTATTTTAAGCACCAGTGCATTCCAGTAGGCACCGTTTACTTACAGTTACACACAACTCGTGCTGATGGAAAGGCCATTCCTCGTGATAGCCTTCTCTCACATAAATTCATTTAGATTTCTTGCGAGGCCCCTTCAGACCGGAAGTGAGAGGCTGTTGAAATGCACTCCTGTTTTATTGAGGGCTCTAGGAAAGGAGCGTGGGTGGCTTAATCTCATTTCTCTTTCTAGCAATGAAATTCTATGATTCCTGATATGATTTGGTTTGCCTGACAGAGGTATTTAAATTTCTACAAAGAATCTTAATCGGTCCTGAGAATACAGCTGCCCTCACCAACAAGCTACTTGATCCACTCTCCTGATATAAAATATGCATCTTCAATACACCGTGCTGGAGGACCAGGTGAAATGAGAGGAGGGAAATTCTCCTCTGGGCGGAAGGGCTGGCTGGAGGGGATCAGGGGCTCTTCAGCGCTGTGGAATCCAGCGAATCGCTAGTGGCCCGCTCCTCTCCACTCGAGTGACAATAACATTGGATTGTGTTCCTTGCCCAGGGAGCAATCTGCTTTGCCAAAACCATTTAGGAGATAAATACTGTCAGTTAGGAATACTGTATTTACCTCTGTTTGGCTAATTTTAGAGATGAAAAGCCTGTAGCTTTGTATAATGGGATCAAATGTCTGGGGAGTGTGTGGGGACACGCAGGCAACAGGAGAAACGGCCAACTCCTCCCTTGCCCAAGGGTCCTCAGCTAGCGTGTTATCCCGTAACCAGCACGCCTGCCTGCTTTCCAGCCTGTTTGACTAATTCTCTTGTTTGTTCTTTGGCCAGGAAGAGCTGGAAGAGTCCACCTTCCTCACCTTCACTTAAGTCGGCGTCTGTCTGGTGAGGGTAGGTTTGTTAGGGAGCAGCTATTTTTAGGTGTGTCTTGGGGAGATAGATTTGAGTGTAGGATTTGATTGCGCGTGGCAGACATGCTGATAGATCCCTTAGCGTGTGATGGAGGGGAGTTTTCCTGGCCTCCTCATACACACGGAGACCAGATGAAGTAGTCTGGGGGCTTGCTGGAGAGAGTTTAGCCCGAGTGGGGTTCAGTGTGTGGTCCAGTCT